TCTCTTTTTGTGTAAACTGGATAAGATGTTGGGACTTAACCTTTCATGTTGGGAGTAATGCAGAAGCTGCTAGAGTTGTCCAGAAATGTTGCAATGATATCATGAACTAGAATCCTAGAGTGTTGCACTAGGAATGAAAAGAAGGCGACAGATATGAGAAAGTAAAGTCTTGTAGAGAAAGTGATTAACTCTTGAGTCCAGTGACTAAATTAAGCTGCTCATTGTATTGTGATGTGCGTAGACAATAACAGATGTTAACACTTCAGAAAAATTTTCTTCTTACTCTGACATGAACCTTGTATAGGTGTTTATTAGTTGACCCCATTAAATAGATAAACTCACAAAATTCATGCATTAAAATTTCAAATTGAATTCAAGCAACAAATATTTAAAAGAAAAAGCTCTTACTATGTAAAACTGTATCCCCAGGAATACTATAATTACTTAGACAAGTTTTATATCCTATTAAAGAGCTGAAACTTTTCAATTAGAGCAAACTGAACATTCACTGATTATAGTAGTTCTTTAATTTTGAAACTTGTATTAGAGCAGAATGGTTTAAGTTTTTTCCATTTATGAATTAGTAACAAAAAGCAATTTTTAAACTGTATTTGAACTTAGTTTATGAATCTGAGATTGAGGAATAACTACATCCTGATACTATAGTGTGGTTTGAAATGATTAGGCTCTTGAAACAGACCACCTTGTTGTGATTTCCTATTTAGTACTGTTTATCTGTGTGACCTCCTTCAAAATATGTAAACCCTCTATTTTCTTATTAGTAAAATGAGAACAATAATTGTATCTACCTCATAGGATTAAATTAGTTAATATTAGTGCTTACAACAGTGCCTGGGATTTTAGCTATTACTATCATTAATAATATAATAAATACTAGCTTTGAATTAATTTATTTCATCTAATCTTAGGGACATCTTTGTCCCTTAAAATGTGCGTTATTTCATTATTCTCTGCAAATAAGATGCATTGAATTGTCCAGTGTCACACAATTAGAATTGGTGGACGTGGAAGTCCAATCCACATATTCTAGTTCAGAATATCTGTGTTCATTTCTGATGCATTGTGCATGTTTTTATGAGCCTCCCAAATCAAAACTAGAAGACACTGGTTTTCCCTTGTCCATCATAAAAAAAAAAAAACACCAGAATCAAAGATCTTTCCCACTCTGGGGCATTTCATCAAAAATTACTTTAACTATCCTCCTTCATTCATTCATTCATTCAACCAAAAGTTATTGAGATTCTGTGGGAGATACTGTGCTCTGGAAATGCTTAATATGACCCCAGCCTATTATTGGTATATTTATTTATTTGTTTATCTATTATATATCTATAATATATATTCCAAATATAATTGCCATGTTAAAAAATTGTGCCAACTTCTAAGATACATGAAATACAGCAAGGCAATGTAAATTATAATATTTACATAATAAATAATATAATATATTATTTACATAAGAAATAATAATATAATAATAAATTATTAATAAATGAAAAATTATACACACATACACATACATACAGTAAAAATATAAAATATATTCCAGATGAGATTTATGAGGTCCTATATATTCCTGGGGGCCCCCAATGTATATTGTATATGTGGGAAGGCATAGAGTGATTGACCTTAAGTTAAAGTATGTCTCTAATAATGAATTGTGAAAAAAAATTATTTATATATATATATATATACATACACACACATATACCATGCTTACCTCAAAATTATTTAAAAGAAAGTATTTTAAGATATGATATGTCCATCTTAGCAATATTTGAACAAAATATAGAAGGTGATTGATAAATCATGGTGGTGATGATGATGATAATGAGGTAATACTATGTTTATTTAGATTTTTACATTGGGTTTTTATGGGGAATGGGATGCTTGTTATATGAAGGTTAAAATTTTTCTATTTTTGTCATTGTTCATTTATTTTGAGTTTACCTAAAGTTATATGTAATATCATGTAACTTGTATTAATAGTTGAGACGTGAGTCTGAATTATTTTACTGTATCATGAACATTTTACATAGTTAAGTTTCAGCTGTGTGGTATTCACTGATAACTTCTGTATCCTTTGCTTTGAAAATATTTCTTACTTGAGGAAGTGAAACCTACTGAGTCAATTAGAAGAGATGGAGTCCTGAGTTCTTCCTCTTAACATTCACAGAAAGGAAAAATGTTGGGGATTAGAAAAGGAGTTATTTATGGTCATTGTTCTTCATTAAAACATATTCTTTGATCTTGCACTAAATAACATTAAGAAACGTTATTGTAATTATTGAGGCACAATCCTGATGAGTTATATATCTGTTGAAGTCATTCTTCATTTTATTCAATCAACCATCTGACATAATCTAGGGCAGAGTAACAAAAGTTGCATTTGAGACTTTATGGTTAAACTGAATTTGTATATGGCAGCAGTCCGTTTATAACTAAAGAGTGATGGATGAAATCATATTAGAGAAAGTACCACTAAAGAGGCACAGTCAGTGTGATCTATGTTTGCAAATCGAAATGAATGTTCATTGCAGCTGTTTTGTTGATCTGGCAAGTAACATAAACTCTCAACAACAGATAAAGCTGAACAGAAAATACCTTTTGTGACGTCTTCTCTTACAACAGCTACTCTAACATATATCAGTAATTTGTATAATGTTAAATTTTCAGGTATGAGGGACAGAGAAAAATCTAAATTCAGTTTTGAGTTAACTGTTTGCCAGTCTTACTGTACTATCAAGACCTTATTGTTACTTTTCACTTCCTCCCCCTTCCAAACTCAATCTTTTCAGTTACGCCTTAAGAGAAAATGGGTCATAGGAACTAGAAGTCATTCTTAACCAACGTAACATGTAAACTGACCATGGAGGTTCTAAGAGAAACCTCTGTAGCCTCATAGAGTAGCTTACACATCCTAGCCACTGCACTCCAAAATAATACAACTTTCATGATTTAGATTGAGTAGAATAATTTTTAGTTAGGATAACTGTATTATAGTTAGGTCTTTAAAGATTTTCTGTTTTCAGTTATACATACTAAAATATTTACAGATGAATTTATGTAATATGTAAGAGGTGCTTCAATATATTACAAGGGTAGAGAGAGCAAATGAAAGTATAGATTAAACTGGATTGGGTGTGAATTGATGTTGAAGTTTGATGATAGAAGCATAGAAATGAGTTATACTTTTTCCTCTAATTTTGTATATATTTGAAATATTCTATAATAGTTTTTTAAATGCATGAGTAGATGAAGTATCCACTTAGAGCTCAGAGTACTGCTTTTCATACTTCATGCATTAAAGACAGAGAATATCAGGTCTTTCACAGTTTGTTCTTATATAATAGAACTACCTTTTTGAAATTGTATTATGTAGATCTGTAAGAAAATTCTATAGATATATGATATGGTTCCCTTTTGACACATATAAGAATCAGACTTTTTCCTAGATGATAACATATATTGAATATACTTTTAAATTTAATATTCTTGTTATCAAAAGATAGGAAATTTAACTTTTCTTAAATATTTACTCATGTGTTAAAAAATATCAATGTGGGGATGTTATTGAAAATAGAACAATTAAGTCTTAGCCTTATCATCTGTGAAATGATAGAGCAAATAATATTTGAGGTGTCTTTAAACCCACCCAGACCTGATAGTAAATATTAGAGAATTCTGTATTGATATATTCTTTATAATCTGGATATGTAGTATTTCTTTACACTACCTTTGTCAATCTGAGTGAAGCTTCGAAAGAATAAACTACCTATCAAGGAATCTGCCACAAAGTAGATGCTTAGTAATTGTCTAGTGAGAGAAGAGTGAGAGAATTAGTCCATCACTGATCCAAGGTCCACTGTGAGGCATGTAGATCACTAATTTACCATTAAACCAAGTGGATCGTATAGTCCTGAGTTAAGTACTGAATGATTTTTTAAAATGTATGAGTTTTCTGCATTCCTTATTTCATCTCTAAAATGGTGCTAATTCATCCCATTTCGCCCTTAAAATGATGATATGATTTTGACTGTTTTTAAAATAACATGCTACTAAAGTCAGAGAATGGTGCAAAAACAAAAATACGGTGATGGCTCTCATATACCATCTGTGTCTAGAAGGCAATGTTATTTTCAGGGTGAGAAAATAGTCTTATGGTCTTTCCCTACCAATGGTGAATTTTTAATGTAATTCGTTTTGAGAAATGAACTTGAGATAATTAGAACAAAACCTCTAATAATTACTAGCAAATACATTTCCAGCCCAAAAGTATTTGCACAAATCTTTTTGTAGTATCTAGTTTGAAAGCAAAATAACAGGCAAAAACTTAATATCTCATGGAGTATTATATTCCAAATGATCTGTATCAGAATGACAAGCTTTCAGGACAGATGATAGTTTCTGAATATCAATTTACATACTTTACTTTTTCCTACTAATTGTATATAAATCAAGATTTTTAAATATGGAGGCAATTAAAACAGAAATATTTAGCCATAGTTAAATATGCACAGGAACTTTTCCAAAATGGGTTTTGAAATGGATTGTTCTCATTGATACTACTGCTTTATTTATTATGAATTTTTACCAAAATGAACTTTTTATAGAATGTTTAATTAGCACTGCTGTCTTTTCGTAAAGAAGAATGTGATTCACTTTCCATTTTTCTCCTTTACTCTAAAGCTTTGATAAATTTGAATTACAAGTTAGCACTGAGGAAAATAAAGAGGTTCTTTTTGTTTGGCAAAAGAAAAAATAACTTTTTTAAAGAAATTTTTCTTCTTCGTAAATTTGAAATATTGAACATTTACATAATTTGTTGGCTTCTTGTTCTACTCTTGGTACCTCTTCAAGACAGATTGTCCCCTACCTCCTACCCCAAAGCCTCTTTTTATAGTTGTAGAACATTGGTACTTCTCAGTACTGTTTGTTTAGGATAAAAACTAATCAGTGCATTTCCTGTGTTTCCCTAGGAGTCAGATGGCCAGGGCTGCCCCTTCTGTCGTTGTGAAATAAAAGGAACTGAGCCCATCATCGTGGACCCCTTTGACCCAAGGGATGAAGGCTCTAGGTGCTGCAGCATCATTGACCCCTTTGGCATGCCGATGCTTGATTTGGATGATGACGATGATCGTGAAGAATCCTTGATGATGAATCGGTTGGCAAATGTTCGAAAGGTAAAGCTAGAAAACGTGAGTTTAGTTAGAATGTTGTGAGGACGTGAAAAAAGAAATGATGCTGTCACAAATGGAATATTTGGTTTGGAAAAAAACACACACGCACACACGTTAGCCTAGGCCTGCACAGGGTCAAGATCATCAATATAATTTCCTTCCACCTCCACGTCTTGTCCCACTGGAAGGTCTTTGGGGCAGTAACACACCTGTAGTTGTCATCTCCTATAATAGCAATGCCATCTTCTAGAATACCTCCTAATGGACCTGCCTGAGGCTGTTTTACAGTTATCTTTTTCTTTATAAGTAGATGGAGTACACTCTAAAATAACAATAAAAGGTATAGTATAGTAAATACATAAGTCAGTAACATAGTCATGTAAATACATAGCCAGTAGCAGTACATCACTGTATGTACTATACATCACTGTATGCGCTATACGTTTATGCAACTAGCAGTGCAGTTTATTTATACCAGCATCACACATACGTGTAAGACATGCGTGGCGCTACAACATTACAGTGGCTATGATGTCTTAGGCAACAGGAATTTTGTAATCTTATGGCAACACTATCATATATGCAGTCTGTCACCAAAATGTCATTATGTGGGACATGAGTGTAATGTTGACAGGCTGATAAAATTATAGATGAAAATAGGACTAGACTCTATCCAAGGTATTCTCACTGGCTTTAAAATTCATAATGAGAGGTGATTAAAGTATTTGGGTAGAATTAAACGTCAGCTAATAGTGGCAGTAACAAATCTGTGGAGAAAAAATTAAGAAAGGGGATTATTAAATTTGGAAATAGTAAAACTGAACTTGACTAAAAATATTCTTTGTTGAAGTGTAGAAGTATCTGACAGAATTATTTTCTTGTTTTAATGTTTTTCATTTCAAAATATTAATTAAGGGGCTATAAGTATTTTTGTTAAAAAGGTATCTTGTATAATGCTAAAGTCAGGGATTTGGGTATGTCCATCAGCAGAATAGTGTTCATTGTACCCAATAGGTAAGTTTTTGTCCCACACTTACCCTCCAGCCCTCTCCTCTTCTTGGTTTCTCGTGTCATATATATTTCTTTGTGCCCATGAGTACCCGTCTCTTAGCTCCCACTTATTAGTGAGAACATATGGTGTTTGGTTTTCCATTTCTGAGATACTTTACTTAGGATAATGGTCTCCAGTTCCATCCAAGTTGCTGTGAAAGACATTATTTCACTCCTTTTTATGGCTGAGTAGTACTCTATGGTATATGTACACCACATTTTCTTTATCCACTCTTGAATTGAAGGACACTTAGGTTGATTCCTCTTCTTTTCTATTGTGAATTGTGCTGAGATATTCATTGAGTGCAGGTGTCTTTTTTATAAAACGACTTCATTTCCTTTGGGAAGATACTGAGCAGTGGGATTGCTGGATTTAATGGTAGGTCTATGTTTATTTCTTTGAGGAATCGCCATACTCTTTTCCATAGAGGTCATACTAATTTGCAATCCCAACAGCAGTGCAGTGTTCCTTTCTCTCTGCATTCATGCCAGCATCTATTGTTATTTGATGTTTTAATAGTGGCCATTCTGATAAGGGTAAGGTGGTATGTCATTGTAGGTATAATTCCCGTTTTCTTGAAAATTAGTGATATTGAGCATATTTTCATCTGTTTGTTGGCCATTTGTCTATCTCTTTTAGAAAAGAATTCTGTTTGTGTCTTTTGCCCACTTTTGATGGAGTTGTTTGTTTTTTCCTTGCTGATTTGTCTGAGTTCTTTGTAGATTCTGAACATCTGTCCTTTCTTGGATGTAGAGTTTGTGAATATTGTCTCCCATTCTGTAGATTGTCTGTTTACTCTGTTGCTTATTTCCTTTGCCGTGCAGAAGCTTTTTAATTTAATTATCCCACTTTAAAATTTTTTTGTTGCTATATTTGTCTTTGAGCAATGTCTGAAAGAGTTTTTAGGTATACCCTGCTCTGCTGAGGCAGCCAGGCAAGCAGTACCAGAGAGGGCTGGCAGGCAGGGTGCTCAGACTCTGAGCACCTTTGGTCTACTACAGGCTTTTAAGAGGAAAGGTGTAAACTCCACTTTCTGTGGAAGCCTTAGTGTAGTGGACGTGCCAACAGACGTGAAGCAGCCGCTCCTGAGAGTCTTGGCTCAGTCATCCCTTGGCACACCCATGCCAACTCAAGTGGGACCTTGTACCTCGCAGTAGTGGGGGGGGAGGGGAGGAGGAGAAGAAAAGTCTGAATGGAGGAGAGCTGGCACTCCGGTCCGCTTTGTCTTTCTCCCCAGAAGGCAGCCCACCTGAAATGTCTAAGCTCTGGGATCAAATAGTTCCCCCGGTACCCACTGGCTACTGTGGCCATTGCAGTCTGGGGAGACATTGAGAAATATTTGTGTGGGACCAATGACACGAAAACTGAAGGGCTGAAGCACCCTGGGGAGGACAAAGGCACTCCATGGGTGGCGATGCAGCATGGCACCTGCCAGCTCAACTTCAGTGTGTGGTGACTGGGAGTGACCCTTGAAGGCTGGCTGTCCGGCACTTTGTCTTCAAGAAGCTCCCAGTTTACTCGCAGCAGTAGCTTTTGGGGTTGTAAGGATATAGAAGTTCTCCAGCAGCTCAAGAGCCTGCTGACTACCAGAGGTGTGAGGGAATGAGAAACAAAACCTTCACCTACCCTTTCCACAGGACTCCAAGTTTCTTGGGGGTTGATCTCTGCTGATATCTTGTTCCTTCTTGTTCTGCTTTGTAACTTCTTCCGGTGGATCTCCAGTAGATTCTGGCACTTTTCACTCTGAATTACACCTGAGCTATGTTTTTTTCATCTAAAACTTTTACTTATTTCTGGGACAATCTGGTGACCGATGTCTCTGGTCAGTTATCTTGGCCTACCCTCCTCAGAATTACTTTCTTAATAGGAAGTCCATTGTGCTGTTTGGCCTCTAAGAGGTCACATAAGATTTACCTTTGTGAATTTACTATAGTTGGGGTTTGCTAATCAATACTGTTAACTCAGAAAATTGACCTTGTCAGTTCAATGAGAAGGGATGCTAATCCCTAGTTGGAGTTTATATAACCGACTTTGCAAAAAAACTAATCAATGAACCAGAATGCCAGTTGATTAATTTGCAAACCAGAAATATAGTGGTCAAGAGGGCTGGACAAAGGTATCAGGCTATTCTGTGTTTAAATAGATGTATGAAGTTCAGATTACATTCCGAAATGTTGTGGTCTCAAAATCAGTGACATGGGATTCAGTAGTATGAAAGGGTCTCTAAATATGCAGCCACTTTTCCTCCTGACTCAGGTGGACATGGCTGATCAGTCATGGCACTCCTCCCCACTGCGTTCACACTCGGCCTACCTAGCCTTTCAACACGGCCCTAAAGATCATCCTCTATGATTCATTAGGATTTGTCAGGTAACATGAAACCTATTTGCCTTTCAGGTGGGGTGATAATAATGTGTAATGGTATCATATTTTATTCGCCATATGCATCTGTCTCTGTAGTAGCAAATCACTTGGTGCTAGGAACTAGATGAGGCATTTCTTTTGAGTTATCCCTTCTTTGGGGCTGTGTCTGAGTTTCCCTCTTGGAAAACTCCTGCATTTTCTTTGTTCCAGTGTTCCATGCTGACCAGACATTCCCTTAAGATTTTTTTCCATACAAATATTACATATGAAGAGATACTAATGTCACCAATGGCTATTTCCAAATTTTTCTTTTGTCTGGAGTGATTTTTAATTTTTACCACATGGTTTTTCATAAATTTCATAATTTATCTCTCTTAGAAACTATACTTGATTTCACCCTTTAATTCCCACAACTATATTCAGTTTTTATTAAGGTTATTATTAGGTTATTAAGTATAAAATGCCCGATTTTCTTAAGTACTAAGTTTGACAGTTGATATCTCTGACATTTCACTTTGACACTTTCTGTTTTATTTTTATTTTAAAGGTAAATTCTTAGTCTTTCAAATGCATGTTTTGGTTTGTGATTATCTTTCAATTTTTTTTTAGAGCAATTTTTGTGAAACTGCGGATAAGTCAAAAACTCATGTTATTTTCAAATGTGAGTTCTGTTGTGGAAGCATTGCAGTGCAGACAGCTTGAAATATCAGTGAAGTGTTTGGGAAGGATGTGGCTAATGAACACAGTACATAGATAGTTTGAGAAGTTCCATTCTGGTGATTTTAATCTTGAAAATAAGCCATGTTGGTGACTTGAAACCAAGGTTGATAATGATGAACTGAAAGCTGTAGTGGAAGCTAATCCATCTCAACCTACGCATGAATTAGTGGCAAGGTTTGACATTACTATTCCAACAATATTGGACTATTTGAAACAAATCGGCAAATTAAGGAAGCTAGATAGATGGGTACTGCATGAATTAAAAGAGTATCACAAAAGAAATTGTCTCAAAGCTTGCCTTTCTTTGCTGTCATGACTAAAAGCCCAACCATTTCTATGCCATATTGTTATGTGTGATGAAAAATGGATTCTTTCTGACAATCGCAAGCATTCAGCACAATGGTTGGATAAAGATGAAGTACCAAAACACAATCCAAAACCAAATATTCATTTAAAAAAAGCTAAGGATGTCTGTTTGGTGGTCCAGTGCTGGTATTATTCACTACAGCTTCATCAAACCTTGTCAATCCATTACAGTGGATGTCTACTGCAACCAATTGAATTAAATGATGAGGATGCTTGCGATTAAGCAGCTGAGATTGGTCAGTAGAGACAGGCTAATCCTCTTAGCCTGGACCACATGTCACACAACCAACTAGTTTTAACTTTAGGAAAACCTGGAATAAAGCACCAATTCTGCTACAGCATAGTACTGGGATCCTAGCCAAGATATTTAACCTCTTTGTCACTTTCTTGCTTTGTAAAACAGGAAAATAATAGTAGCTTCTCCATTGGGTGTTTTATGATCAAATGGAGCAGCATCAGGTTATGGAAATCATAAATGTTTACTCTTTTATTACCAATGTTA